CCTCCCTCTGTCGATATGGATTTTTGTGATCGCAAATGGCGATTGTTTGAATGATCGTTTTAAAAGCTCTTCATTTAAAAGTATGGAGAGGCGAGCAAAAAATGAATTTTTTTTTTTTTTTTTTTTTTTTTTTTTTTACAAAATGCTCATAAACGGGTAAAAGGTGAATTCTCAGCTTACGGACGATGCATTTTAGGTGCGCCACATGTAATACAAATTTTAAACATAGGGTGGAATGCTCCAAAATCACCGAATGTCGGTCCAAGATCAATCATTAAAAGTGTTTAAGTACTCTTATCGGTTAATTATCTAAATCAATTGGTAGACACATGTTTGAAATTGGAAGCAGTAGGCACTTTTGAACATAACATGAAGGTTCCGAGAGTTGATTTTCTATCAATATTATTCCGTAAGTAGCTTCCTAATCTTCCAAATTATTCATGAGGACCAAACTGTGCAATATATTGCAGTGGTATCGATGCGTGAAACTTAGAGCTGAGAATCCATCTCCGTAAGAACGGAGTTACATGCCACTGTTTGTGAATGTCGAATATTTTGCCTATCTAGCTTTTGAAGGGGTTCCTCTTACTTCATCGCGATAAAATATTAGTGAGCTGCAATTTTTCTTTCCATTGCAAAGTGCCCATCTTTATGATACATAGAACTCGATTAATCGTTAAAAACCTATACCTATATATTGACCAAGTTATGGAAAAATCTTAAAATTTCATGGTGAAAAATTTGCAATTTAAACGCATTTAGTTGCAAATTTATTCCAATATTTTTGTCGTGCAGAGCTCCTTGAAAGTATGTCTCAATGAGAGAGAAAGAGTTAAAAGATTTTGGTTTGTTATTTTGGCTCTTACATCTGGAATTTGATTCCTCTGGAAGTTGGAGAGGTCCAAATATAACTGTTATCGTGCGCATTAAAATGAGTAAGCTAGAACTGTAAACAAATTTACCATAAAAATTATTAGAGGCATATTTCGGACGAACCTAAATATTTGATTGTAGTTTAGTGTCAAATAACATTTTTATTTGACATAGGATCAGGTATTCATTGAAAATCATGCGACTCAATCATTTTAAAGTATACACGTACGTAATTTTGATGCTTGCTTGGTTAGATGAAAGAAATAAGAGAAACAATCTTTTTTGTAAGAAGATGGACGATTTAATGAAAATATTTTCTCCATCAAATTAAAAAACAAAAGATGATTACATTTATACAAAAATAGAGAAAGATCATTCGTCTTATTGTCATTTAAATAAAGTTAGAGAAAGATTATTTATTTCAAATATCACGAAGAATTATTGGGCATTAGAGTAAGAAAAAAAGATAAAGTCAAACAGGTGAAGTATAAAAATCCAAAATAATTAAACATGTACTTAATCCGTCAATATGAATAGATCAAATACTTGCATGGGCATCCCGCCCTCCCTCACAAGTTGTAAAACGCCAGAGCTTCCAATTACTTTTTGGTTTGAAGAAGGTATCGGCTAAATCCACTCACAAATGGACGTATTTCTGTCAAACGGAACTATGTGGATGAAGACATGAGCCCTGAGACCCATAAGCATATTTGCAGAACAGGGTTCACATCATAATGCACATAGTTCCGTTTGATAGAAATACGTCGAAATTATCTATTGATGATCCTCGCAGAAAAATGAACTCGCGGACCAATACCTGCCTTCCAACTGGGTGACATTTCTTAGGGGAATAAAGTACGCCTCACATGAAGTGAAACGAGCGCTTACGATTATAATAATGAAAATGCTTAAACTTTCTGCTGAGGAATCAATAAGTCGCAATATGGCTATGAGTTGTCACCGGTCTTATAGATTACCTGTCATTTCCTTTCATTCAAGAAAAGTGATAAATTATCATCATTGTCAAATGCATAAGATTCTCACATTTGCGAGCGTTTGATTGTGGAACACATTCGTTACCACTAAATAGTGGCTACAATTTCATAATTTTTCTAGAACAATTTTCAATTTTCAATTCAATATATTTTGAACGACCGACCAAATGTACCCTCTTTAGTGACCCTCTATGGTTGAAATAGGTATGAGAAAAAATAAAATTATCCGTGGTATGTTAATTGCTTTGGAAAAAAATACTCTTTTCAAGCCAAATTAAAGATAGCTCTGTAAGTCATTGTTGACAACATGTTTACAACATGATACAACAAGTATAGATCAAAAAAAGTCATGGAGCCTCATGATCTTGGATTTTTTTAAAATTCAAAGCCTTAACTTTTTGGCTCTGTTTGATTATATTTGCCTATGATATAAGAACATTACGTGACGCAACAAGTCCAGATTCCATAATTGTGGAGAACCCAAATGTACATGGCTCTCTTTTTTATGATCGCAAGCATTCCATACATCTTCTGAGGAAAAAAGGAAGACGGATAAAGCCTTTGAAAAAATAGTTCTATCCTACGAGTTGAATGTTCGATGTGCCATATCAATCAAACTATTCAGTCCCTCAAACCAAGATGTCGATTTGTCAAACCAAACATTTCGTTCATGGTATCGAACGTTTCGTTTGAACCAAACTAATAAAATAATTTCCATCACGAACATCGAACATTTGATCCTCTGAATCGAAATTCTTCTTGACAAAACCGATGATAGTTTGATCGATATGGAACGTCGAAAGTAAGGTTCCTATTGTGAGCTTAATTCCCTCAAAGGCTACCAATTTGCGGGCGAAATTTTTAAGTCTTTCACTAACATTTGCACGAAAATTGTAAATGGTGCACTGGAAAACTAAAGTTCGGCTACACTCAGCAAAGTTCGGCTCATATAGAATGCGGTACATTTAGATTGCATTATTGAATGGTCTGCTGAACAGAAGTTTGGTTATGCGAACCGAAAAGTTCGATACATAGAAAAATGATACCTAGGTAATAGGTTTCAGAACATTTTGTCAACGATTTTTTGCCCAGGCACCTTTTTTGTCCATGCCCACTCGTAAAGTAAGCAACTGTGACTTGGTCCAAGCGTTATATTTTAGTCGGTATGTAAAATTATACTGACAATATGGAAATGAGAAATTGAGAGAGAAGGGGGTGTTCTTATGGTTGCTCATTTTCTAAATGAAATGTTATTACTTTCTCCTTTTGAATCATCTTTTTAAATTGTCATTTGTGAATATTTGGTTTTATTTCTATCCTTAAAATATTCGATGTACAATATACCTTATATATGTATAGGCACTTTTTTTATTTTATTTTTTCTAATTTTTTTCTTTACGAAATTATTACTTCATTTTGAAAACATTTATATTTTTAAAACGTGACAAATATTTTTGAAACCTTTTCCAAGCGACATTAATCTCAATGAGCCCCAGTTGTGCCGACAGAAACTGCAAAAATGAATAAAAGAGGAAAAAAAAACAAGAAGCACGCAATCTTTACTTTTAACCCATTTCTACATCGATCTTTTAGAGTCAAATACGTCAAATTTTGAGCGTTTGGTTGCGCGTACACCTCGCTGCTGCACAATAAAAGCACAAAATGTAAAAGAAAAAATTAAAGTGCTTTGGAAATCATTAAATTTGACACGGAACCACCAATATTTAAAAAACACACATTATATTATTATTCTCCTTTGATAAATTGATACATATTTTTTCCCATCAATTTAAATGAGAATACTCAATGCAGAGTGTGCAAACATTTCAAAATCATGAGTTAAAAAACGCTGACTATGCGAGTATAAATATTAAAGCCTAAAAGAGCGGAGCGGCGTCCTGCCAGCGCGAGAGGCTCACTGGCGCCTACAAACCTAAGTGGATACTTCACGCATTGCACAATGCTAGAAGTATCCACTTAGGTTTGTAGGCGCCAATGCGCGTTTCGCGCTGGCCACCCGCGCCCTCCTGCCGTGCGACGGCGCCTGAAGCAACTATTACACAACAGAGGTGTTGCATAGTATTATACGAAATTGAACGTATTAAGAATGACGGGCATCCTTTAAAAGTACAGATCTTTCCTCGCAAAATAAATCAAGATACTTATCGTACACTGGAAAAATCCAAGAGCCTTTAGCTGAGGCAAATATGGAGGTTTATCCGGTTCTGGTATAACAAGGTGAGAATTTCTTGAAAGATAATTAAGTCCTGTTACACCAAAGAGGTGTAGAGAGTTTTAGTGAATTTTGTCTCAGAGAATTGGCGCTCCCCCATTTTTACCAAAACTCTCAACTATGTATTGTTATCCGTTGGACCAAACAGACAAAACAAAAAAACAAGCAACCCCTCGTTCTTCCAAGACATTATACATTTTCATCCAAAAACGTCGTGAGCAATTGTCGTTTGTATTTACAAGTGGGCCAATAATTAACTTTGGGTCTCAACTGGCACGTGGACCAAAACCCCCGTGCCGAAAAAATGCGTGGACGTAAATTACTGGAAAAAACAGATACGCGGACAAAAAATCGTTGACGAAATGTCCTATAACCAGGTAATAAGGACTGAACTTCCGTTTATATGGAAAACTGAAGCATTTGGTCCAGGTAAACGACGTTTTCAGTCGTGGGAACCGAAATTCGGTTCCAGTTACCAAGGTCTTTCGAAGTAATTCGAGTTTTTGCATGGTTGACGAAAACGTCGGTTCCTATGGCTGAAAACTTTGGTTAACTGGACTGGAAGCTTTACATGTTTCCCAAAATGACCGAAACACCAAAGACCAAAATGTTATTCTCTGCGTAACTAATTACTTGCCGAGCTATTCGGGTATCGGAGACCCCAACCGCTATTATTTACCGAGCTGTTTCGGTTTTCATAATCGCCATTCGGCTGAGAAGACCGAATGTTCGTCGTTTCCCTCGCGAAAGAACGTAAGTCCATTTCAGTGTTGCCAAATACCCCCTCGCAAAGTGCATATTAACCAGGAAAATCTTGGACATTTCTAACTGGCAAGTTCACTGGTTTTTCCTCAGATTTCAAGCAAAAATCAGAAAATTCTGGAGAAAAATTGCACAAGTTCGTTTTCGTAAAATAAATGAATTATTCGAGTGAATTTGGCAACCTTGAAATCGAGTTACGTTCCTTCGTTCGAAAGACGACGTATTCCGTCATGCTAAGAGAACTATTTTTATCTGCGGTAATCTGCGGGACCTGGCGGGAGATGATGGGAGGGAACTTGTTCAATCGGACAAACAGTCAGTTTTCAGATGATCGAGAGGGGAGCTTACGATGTCCTGCGGGTCGAACTTGTGGGACAAGATAGTCGTGTACAAGCTCCTCGACGAGGGGAAGTTATGATGGAGAGGAGGGCTGTCGCTGAGCATTGTTTCCAGATCGTAGGTGGAGCTTTCGCAGGAGGACGTGAATTTCTCCGTTTCGTTCTCGGTCGTGACCGACTCGAAGTACTCGCTCTGGAGCTGGGTCTCGTCTGCCGCGGTCCCCGCAGACATCTCGCTCTCCTCGTCCTGGCTCCGGGCTCGGCGACCTCCGCTGAAACTCCCGACTCTCGGAAATCTCTCCAGGTCATCTTCCCGACTCGAGATATTAACTTGCTCACTTCCGATTTCCAACCTTGCCCCCTCTAGAAAGCCGCTCGAAAACGCGCTCGCTTTTTCCAACGAACCCATCTCAAACTCGGTCCCCGAAGATTTTAACCGGGAGACAGCTCCGTCCCTCTCGAACCCAAGTTCAGAGCTTGTTTGTAATGGGTAGTTTAGAATTGATCCGGTAGATTGCGTCCTTGACACCGAACTCCCTACAACCTCGTCAATCGGAGTCTCTCGTTCGTGGGAGCTGACACTTCCTTGTAGGAACTCTTCAATGGTTTTGTCCTCGACGTCCTCCAGAAGTGGCCTCTGGTGCGGCCTCAAGCAAGTATAATCATCCGAGTGGAGTTTATTTTCGGAGAATGATCCGCCTAAGCTGTGCTTTGATATATCTCCTTTTTTAAAGAAAGAAAATTGACTACTGTCCAGTGAGGAATACTGCCTAGTTTTGCTGAATTTGGACGTACTATCCTCAAAACTACCTCTGGACGATACCTCTTTTCTTACGCTTATCTCGTCTAAATCGCTGAGTTTGGAAATGCTCTTGTCAGTTCTTTGGATCTGTATCCGGCTGAGGATTTTCGAGTTCTCCGCTAAGATCCTCTGCAAAGCTGTTGCACTATCTCGTCTGGGTTTTAGGTTCTCGGATTTGTCTTCATCTATACCACCTAACGTTTTGGGTGTTGATTTCACTGTTTGAATCGGTGACACCGGAATCGATGCATGTTCAGGCACAGACTTTGTGTCAACTTCACTAATATTCGGATTGATATTGTTTGCTTGAGAACATGTTTCTTCATCACTTTGAAGTGGAATTTTCAGCTCGAGTTCCATCTTTTTCATGGAGCTTATACACTGTTGTAACTTGTTTTCTATGTCTAATTTGAGTTTTAAGTTAGAGTATTGATCCTGATCGAGGGTCTCTTCCTCAAGGCACTTGGCATTTTCGGGATTTTCATATTCTTTCAAAATTTGCCCATGCTCGTGTTCAGTCGATTCGCTTTCAGAAATTATTTCGGAGGGTTCAGAACTAGTGAGTGATGTTATATCTAAAGACTTTTCATTTTCAATATCTTTCAACACTGAGGAACTTATTTCCTCTGGCGTTGAAATTTTTTCCTTTCCTAGATCCAATTCAAAACTCCGATGATTGTCCGTATTATTCCTTAAATCTTCACTTCCATCTAGAATGCCTTCCAGGCTTAGTTTATTTTCGAGAGTCTCGAAACTTTTATGACCGTACTTTGCCTCTAAATCGGACCGGTATTCCGTCAAATCTTTCAACGGACTGAATTGGCTTGAACTCACCTCCGACGCAGGGTTTGGACTCAACAAATCTAAAGGCTTACTGATAAATTTTCTTTCACTCCTATCTAATGCGTTAACATTTGAACTATTCTCCCCTACTTTAGGGTCAAATTCAAAGGTCTTTGATTTCTTATCAGGAGTGTCTAGCCCTGTAAGTAAATTTTCCCTGAACAAATTATTAATCTTACAATCTACATGACTAGTGTCAAGTCGATCTTTTGCCGATGAGGGTGAATTTGAGATGTCTTCTGACGAGGCACTAGTGAAAAAGTTTCCTTGAACAACCCGCTCCTCAAAATCTAAAAAATTAGACCCTTGATGAGAATCTATGGCTGGCTCGAGAAAAACACTAAGATTTCCACTAGTTTCTGCCCTTGAAGGCTCACATTTGTTTTCTGTGCCCTTTAAATTTGACTCCGTTGAAGATGACGTCTCAGTTGTCTCTCCCTGGGAAATCTGTGCACCGCTATGAGATACAGAGCGATCCTCTCTACTTACACGGATGGAATTCGAATCTATAGAAGGCGCTGTGGATAATTTAGCACTATGTAGACTTACCCCAGTTTGCTTATTTGGCTGAAATTCTGGCTCTAAAAATTTAAGGGGTGAGGAAATTTGAGTTTCCGAAAGCGAAGGAGCGGTAATCAAGGTATAATAAGGATCAGTGATGGAGCTTTTAGAGTCAAGGGCCGGCTGACATACTGGTTGAGTTGGGGAAGAAGTATTTGTATCATCAGGGTTGATAACATAATTCTGATCGGTCAATTCTGATCGATCTGAGGCAGGGTTCACTGGGACGGTTTCATTACGTGGAGAGAGGACGCTAATCATGCTCTCGGATGGAGGCGAGTCCGAGATGGAGGCATTTTGGGAAGTATCCACGCTCTCAGAAGGCGGAGGATGCAAGGGAGTTGTTTCTGTTAACGGACATTCTGCTGTCTCGGGAAGCAACGAAAGCCTGGAGGTCGAGTCTTTTTTCGAATTATCTGCGCCCCCGGATAGGAGATATGAGGCAGGAAAGTCCTCTGTGAAATCCTTCGTGCTTTTTTTCAAACACTCTGCATCCACAGAGGGTGGAGGATGTGAAGAAGTGGAGTCCTCTCTGATATCCTCTATGCTTTTTTTCGAGCACTCTGCATCCACGGAAGATGGGAGATGTGAGGAAATAGAGTCTTCTCTGAAGCCCTCGGTGTTTTCAGAGAATTCGTCTCTGAGATGGAGGGAATCCGACGAGTTCCTAGATGATACGGCGATGTCTGGATTGACTTCTTTGCAAGGCGCTGGCTCCTGTCGCATGGTGACGGGAAGAGATTCGGCGTCACTGGCTGCATCGTCGTCCGGGTCTGGATCGTCGCAAAGTTCTGTCGAGGAGGAGGAAGAGGAGCTATTGCTGTTCCGCCGCGACGAAACGTTCGAGATGTCCGACACCTCCTCTGTTAACCAAAAAAACAAACATTAGTACCTAGCTAAAATCGTAAGAGTAACATGTAACGCGTAACACCTGAGTTGCGGTGCGCTTCGGAAGGGAGGGGGGGTTTGGACCTTGACGTGGTCAGAGGCGTACCCCCTAGTCACTCAAGAAAAATAAAATTGATACGTGCATGGCGAAAGTCGAAAGGTGCAGATCCAAATTGCATTGTTTAAAAATTATGGCAATGTTTTTCAAAGAAAGAAAAGAAACTGGCCAAAATACATATTTTTTAATGTTCGTGAAAATTTTTGAATCAAGTTAGAAAATTTGCAGGAGATTTAAAGAGAAGATTAGGTTTCTTTCAGAAATTACATATTTTAGAGACCCACATACTGCTATCTTCTTTGAAAATATAGCTCATCAGAATTTAATGCTGACTCCAAAAGTTCAATTTTGAGCGAGTGGATTCATCAGGAAACTTTAATATTTGAAATTACTTAAAAGAAGAATGTTTTGGCATGAAGGGCGCACTCAAAACTGATCTGCTAGCTGTTTCCTTTCACCCCTGTCACTGGAAAATTCGTGAAATTTACGAAAAGTATACTTCTACAAAGTGGGTATGATCGCATTGTCGCACTGTAGATTGATGATAAGTTCAGCAGCTGCAAGACTGTCAGTAGTGCTGTGATAATAGGTAATAGGGTAGGGTGGGGGGATATAGACTCTTAAATGACGGCTTGATGTGCCAGAATTCAGATTAGCTTCATACCAATCGTCTCATTCTTTAAGAAAATTTACCTGATTGATCAGTGGCTAGAGACTCGGTTGCTGATGTTGCTCGCTGCACCTGCCGTCGTTTCTTCTCAGAACTTTCCCAGGGGATGGTTGTTCCTACTTCCTCCTGTTGTTTTACTGTAACATATTAAAAAAGAAATCAATCCACAAGAAAATCAGAAATAGATCACTTCTCTGAGGATGCTCGCAAATACAGAGGAAAATACAAAGAAACACCAAAAATTCCGCGCATGTTACCAATAATTTATTGTATTCATCTATCTGTGACCGGAAACTACGGAGACAAATCGGACAATTCTGTAGCTGCTAAAATGCGTTCAATCCATAACGCAATGCTGCATGAATACGATGGCAGTTTTCATTGAATCGTCAATTTTGCATTTTATTTTTTCTATAGAAAATAGCAAGATAGCTCTGGATGTTCAAATAATGATATACTCGTTTCTGAATTAATGGGAAGATAAAAGATTATCGCACACAAAACCAATCAGAAATCAAATGATATGAGAATGCGAGGGAATAACGCAGGGTGTGAAAATATTAGAGTTCTAATTACATAGTTCGGTGAGCCTTCCGCTCTTGTCATCAATTTATCCTCGTTCTTTTTGAATGGAGTTATATAGAGGTATACCTGAATAAAAGGTTTAAACGAAAACCATCGAATCATTAGCATCCTCTCCAATATTGCCGTATCGGACGATTAAAATGATACCACTTGGTTAATGTTAACGAAATTTTACCTATGATGAAAGAAAATATTCATAGATGGTAACTCAACTGGCTCAGAAGTGTGCGCCGTTTCTCCTCTGGTAAATTTCTTTTGGAATTGAGACCCGAAAAAGAAAAGATTCGAGGAATTTAATAGTATATTATATATTATGCGCATTATGTCATATAATATTATATTTTATATTTCATTATACACATATTCAAAGTTATTAATCCTCCTTAAAAAATCCTGGGAAACCGTAGAATTGCAATTTTTTGTTTTTTTTTTTTTGTAACTGGCTCAAAGAGAGCATTATAAAGATCTGAAAAATTCTAATTAATATACTCCTCTTTTCCAAATATCGAAATTAAGTTCAATGAAACGTAATTTCACTCTCCCTCATCAGTGGTTGTCATTCAATAGACTCATAATAGGCTAATATGTCCTTTTACGATTTGACCACGGCACCAGGGAAACTCTCAGGGTAAAGTTGCATGATATCGATGGTTTTTAGCTAAAAGTGGCATCATGCTGCTCTCTCCTTCCACGCCACCGCGTTTCCCACCGAGTAATATTCGGCGTCCCTAAATCCGTTCACTGAGCAAATAATAATTGATGGTTTGTCGAGCAGCGCCAAGATCAGTCATTACTCGTTAAACGTTCACGGATGCGGTTGCTGTTCTGTTCATGCCACACGGATCGAGGTGGGTTTCAATAATGACGTCATACTACGATTTTGTAAATAATCGACCCCGGCGCTACAGCCTTCCTAAAAGTTGGATGACAGTTACAACATTCGTAGAATAGCGACCTCACCTCCGATAATTTGTAGAATTTCCGAATGATAAATCAACCTCATAAATTTCTTACCCATCCATGGGAATTTTAAAAAATCTGAACGACTGCTAACAGTTAAGCAGCAGGTAATAGGACATTTCGTCAACGATTTTTTGTCCGCGCACCTGTTTTTTCCAGTAATTTACGTCCACGCGTTTTTTCGGCACAGTAGTTTTGGTCCACGTGCCAGTTGAGACCCAAAGTTAATTGGCCCACTTGTAAATACAAACGACAATTGCTCACGACGTTTTTGGATGAAAATGTATAATGTCTTAGAAGAACGAGGGTTTGCTTGTTTTTTTGTTTTGTCTGTTTGGTCCAACGGATAATAATAGTTGAGAGTTTTGGTAAAAATGGGGGAGCGTTGATTCTCTGAGACAAAATTCACTAAAACCTTCTGCACCTCTTTGGTGTAACAGGACTTAATTATCTTTCAAGAAATTCTCACCTTGTTATACCTGAACCGGATAAACCTCTATATTTGCCTCAGCTAAAGGCTCTTAGATTTTCCCTGTGTACGATAAGTATCTTGATTTATTTTGCGAGGAAAGATCTGTACTTTTAAAGGATGCCCGTCATTCTCAAGACGTGCAATTTCGTATAATACTGTACAACACCTCTGTTGTGAAATAGTTGCTTCAGGCGCCGTCGGACGGCGGGCGGGCGCGGGCGGCCAGCGCGAAACGCGCATTGGCGCCTACAAACCTAAGTCGATACTTCAAGCATTGAGCAATGCGTGAAGTATCCACTTAGGTTTGTAGGCGCCAGTGAGCCTCTCGCGCTGGCAGGACGCCGCTCCGCTCTGTTAGGCTTTAATATTTATACTCGCATAGTCAGCGTTTTTTAACTCATGATTTTGAAATGTTTGCACACTCTGCATTGATTATTCTCATTTAAATTGATGGGAAAAAAGAGGTATCAATTTATCAAAGGAGAATAATACTATAATGCTTGTTTTTTAAATATTGGTCATTCCGTGTCAAATTTGATGATTTTCAAAGCACTTTCATTTTTTCTTTTACATTTTGTGCTTTTATTGTGCTGCAGCGAGGTGTACGCAAAACAAAACGCTCAAAATTTGACGTATTTGACTCAAAAAGATCGATGTACAAATGGGTTAAAACTAAAGATTGCGTGCTTCTTGGTTTTTTTTCCTCTTTTATTCATTTTTGCAGTTTCTGTCGGCACAACTGCGGCTCATTGAGATTAATGTCGCTTGGAAAAGGTTTTACACCGACTAAAATATAACGCTTGGACCAAGTCACTGTTGCTTATTTTACGCGTGAGCGTTAACTACTGGACAAAAAAGGTGCGCGGACAAAAAGTCGTTGACAAAATGTCCTGAAACTGTTAAGCACTGGAATCCACATGGAAAATACTCTTTTCGGTATATGCTTTAACTGAACGTAGATTTTTAAACAGGGCATTTATTCCTTACCGTAGCTTCAAAAATCATAGTTTATTCAGGGTTTCATGTAAGCTTGGCCGCTAGGAGCTTCAGATTACAGGCATAGGCCTGCGGCAGGTTTCAAAAATGATAATTTTTTTTGTGCTCTCCAATCTCGTCACGTATGCTCATAAAAACAAGTAAAAAGAAGAGAGGATCATCGTTTTTGAAATCTTATGGTGATAAATTGTAACCAGCTCCTGGTGGCAAAATCACAAGTCCAGCTTTGCCTCCAACACCTTACTAAACATCGCAAATAATGATTCCAGTATCAAGAGGATTTGCCCTTGCTGCAGGTTGCATATTGAAGCCCAATATATCGATAATTGTTCGGCAAATAGGTTACTGCAAGTAGTTTTCGCGCAATTTTGGACAAGGTGTAAGGCTTGAAAGTACTAAAACAAGGTCCAGAGAAAACAAATTCAAAATACCTTGGTGCTGGTGTTTTAGGGGCGGTGGGATGGACCCGGGTATTGGCGGTAATCTATGCGTCTTCGAGGTGAGCAGTGGTTTTTTGTTTAGCAATAAATGGTTCATTGCTGGAGACATTGGATTAGTTACAGCCAGATTTCCTCCGCCGCAAGCAGCTGAAAAGGAAGAAAAACTGTAAATCAATTTCAGTTTAAAAAAATTGGGGAGCGAGAGATTAAAAGCATGTCTATACAAAGTGACGTTGGTCGTCATAACTTCTCACATCAAATGTTTGAACTAGGACAATGGAGCTGAATTATGTTTTGTCCTCAGGTGAGTGGAGCAAAGCAGTACTTTAAAAAAGGTGCCCGTTGCGCTAGTTACAGAATCGCGTTTTGATTGTTTTACGTTGTGGACGAGCAAATAGTAAATAATACCAAATTTCTACGTCCAATATTAATGGAGATATAGTTCCTTAAAATACGTGAAGTATGACGTCATCCACCGCGACGATATTATAATGTCTTTTCTTCCACCTTAGTTTCAGCCGTGTTTCAATTCGAGCAACCAATACAAATATGTGTATAACTACTTGATGAATCAAAGGCCTTGGTAAAAGAAACAATGCTGTACGGCGGTGGAGATATGCGGTCACTAAGTGTGGTCGCTGGTCTGCGCAAGCAGTATATAAGCGCCTACAAGAGTGCATGAATACTTCACGCATTGCGCCTAACACAGTGAGGTCGCTAGTCGGCACGGGAAACATATTAGCGCCTACGAGAGTGCATGAATACTTCACGCATTGCGCCTAACACAGTGAGGTCGCTAGTCGGCGCGGAAAACATATTAGCGCCTACGAGAGTGCATGAATATTTCACGCATTGCGCCTAACACAGTGCGATCGCTAGCCGGCGCGGAGATCATATTAGCGCCTACAAAAGGGCATGAATACTTCACGCATTGCGCCAAACACATTGCGGTCGTTGGTCGGCGAAACTGTCCAATTCGACCTCCAAATAACTAAAAATGAGACTTGATAATTTTGGATTGAGGGTTTGTTTTTCTAGTCAGTTATATTATCGAGCTTAAAAATATAATACAGGTACCTTTTTATCCGGCATTTTCCCCTTCTATTTACGCGCAAAAATCATATGCGATTTAACGGTCGTGACAAATTTAAACATAAAAAGCGTGACGGTCGTGACACACAAAAAAGTTCAACGGAGTTAATTTACGTTTTAAATCCTACCAGAATATTCTAAATTCTAGCAGTGACTTCTGAACGATCATATTTTAATGTGAGCACTTCATTCAACGGAATGGAACATTTTGTCGCGATTTTGACAGCCTCTAGCGGCCGTTTTGGCAAACAAAATCACTGTGACGGTTGGTACGTCGAAACTTCATAACAGTATCAACTAAAGCTAAAATCAACTAAAAAAACTCGAAAAACGCCAGACGCCAGCCGCAGTGATTGTTGGGTCAACAATCACTGAAGATGGGAAGCGATAGCTCCCGAAACTAGTCTGGCGTTTTAAGACGTAAGCAAATTTGAGTTTTTTAGTTGATTTTAGCTTTAGTTGATTTAATCAGTTCGCTGTTTTTTAGTTTCATTTTTATTGTTTATTCATAACAGTATATTTTCGAAATATTTCGGGCGGAAAATGCATTTAAAAATAAAATAAAATAAAATAAAAAAAAAACTTTATGCGTTGACTGTTTTGGGCCATGAAGTCACAATTGTTTGATCTTCTGACGAAAGGTCATGCCTTCGTGGGGAAAGAAGCCCCGGAAAGCATGTTACAGTATGAATTTCATGGTAGGTTCATCTCAACTGAAATGGAGAATTTGCACGCAATTGTTTTTATTGCTTCATCTGCGAGTACTTCAAGAGCTGATTTCCCAGTACTCTTTTAACTTTTTTTCTAATATGGAGAGATCATGTAAAAACATATTTAAAAGTATGAAAAAATGCACGGCCTAGTGACGTCATCTGGCGGCATTCTCAATTTAAACACATGTATTTTAGCAGATTAGATAATTTTGTCATAACTCCTCCACTTGTTCAATTTATGAACCAAAGGTATCTTCGTGTTCAGTTCACACATTGACAGTGGTTTTCACTTAAACACGAAATTCATCAAATTTCAGACACCTGCAAATTCTCCATTCGCGGATTGTGACTTCGTCTTTGAATGATTTTCGTTGATAAGAAAAGCCAGCAATGGATCAATTATTTAAAAAAAAAAAAAAAACACCTTTAGTTTTCGTGAGGGTCAGCGTGTGTGTATGTGTTTTCGTGTAATGTAGTTGAAAAAATTACCAGATAAAATAATGTGAGCCTGTCTTTGGCGCTCTCGAAGTTTGCAATATTGCTTTTTTAGGGCAGAGATATCCAAGGCTATCTTTTCCCGGTCAGAGGCAAGTTGATCTGGAAAACAAGAAGAAGAACAATAATAGTTTCAAAATTTAGAAGCGAAGCAATAAGATGTTTGGAACATAATAACATTTGTAGCCTGATTGACATTATTACAAGTGGTAAATCTTTTGATCGAATGACCACTCCATGTTAGTAATCTTTTCACTGGATATTGAACCGATGATTTTGACGTAAAGACTAGCAGTTTCAGTTTTTTTTTTCTTTCTTCAAGTAAAGTGTGTGTGTGCGTTTTTTTTTAAAAAAAAAATACGCATATTTATTGAAATAGTACTGTATTCCTTAAAAATTTTAAATTTTAAATTGTATGTGCATTGAAGTAAGTACATGCGGCGTCACTGCTGTTGACTTAACTTCATCGTTGGTTGTTATGGCAACAATGCCATTCTACACCGTATTTTGATTAAATTTCCGCCGAACTTTTAAGCGAACTCCCTCCTTTATGGGAGTTGCTTCTTCTAGTCGTTCACTTTGTTGCAGTTTTAGTAGCGGGCCCACTGATCGATTCCGCATGCTACCTTGTTGGATGTATCGATTAAACCCCAGGTCCCTAAGACCAAATATTTTGTACCCGTGAAACAAATATATGCATTTGCTCTAGAAATTGACTAGTCAAGTGGCCAAAATGATTACCTAGACAGAAGACTTGCACCCGATCATTCAGCTCTTTACGGATAAGTATCTAAAAATATTTAGTAGTACTTTGAAAATTAAAAATCTCTTTTATCTGAATTATTGCAACTAATTATTCATTAGTTACTCCTTCAATAATACTTTTTAATGATATGATTTGAAGTTTCGTCTGGTTAATTATCATCTCCCTTTAAAATTTCGTCAAATTTTTGCTATGTTGCACAATCCTGGTTCCCAGTAAGTTGAGAACTTCGTCGTTTCTCGACCAATCAGAGGCCTTCAAAAGTCACTTAAATTTCAAGAAAAGGAAAAGGTGGGAAGGGTTCCTTTACATCGGAAGGATTGAGGTGAAAAACAATCTAATTTGGCAACGAAGGTATGCATCCTGCCGCGCGGACAAACTTTTAAGTTCAGATAAAATGAGTAAACCGCTGCACTGTATGCCGCAAGAGTTTTCTCATCTGCAATTCTCGCCTCTTTTACGGTAAAGTTTCTATATTAAGGCACGGAAACGAATTTTTTGACCTCAAATCGTCCGCTTGAAGTTCGCCTTTAATTCCGGTGGATAGGCAACGCAACATATCCTCAGGGGAGGACAAATAGTTATCTACCTGGCGGCAATAACATCATACCGCTTCCTGTTTTGAATGGAGGATGTGAACCAGTTGGGAAATGAAAACCTGTTGAATTTCATTTGATAAGCAGCAAATGTCCAGGAGAGAATATTTTCGCCGCGCCCATACGAAAAATGAAAAATTTCACCCAACTTCTCGCGTCATGTTTTGATGACAAATACAGAAATTCTGCGAGCTCATTGGTATTTTTCACATGAAATTCGCCTTCAACTTTGCTGAATAGACAAAAAACTTACAGAGAAACACGAATCTACTTGAAAGTTCACACTTAAAATCCCTCCATGCTTTGATTGCAAGGGGCAGTAGCTTTTTAATTCCTCTAAGACATTCTGAGAACATTTTTGCCGTACAAAATTTTTGCAACGGCTTGATTATTTTCCCATTAATAACTACTGTTCAAGCAAATAAAATACAGCCAAATAACACCAAACGAAAAGAGCAAATCATTTTATTTTCATTTCACGCGTATTTTCAGTAAAAAGTGCATTTTTGCAGTAAATTTTGCTTTGACATACTAACTTCGGAATTGCATTATTACAAAAAAAAACCAAAAAAAAAAAACAATGAATTAAATACAGCTCTAAACCGTCAACCTTTACTCTCGCTGCAAATGCACAGTTTCTCCTGTAATTTATTTAAATCCACAGATTTTATTGAATCTTCCCAATCACACTCATCAATCTTATAAATACATTCATTTAGTTTTACAAAAAATAGTAAGTAAACAAACAAGACAGCACATCCATCACTCATTTCCTTTTGTTTGAAGTTAACTGTGTTCATGTATTCCTGAGTCTTTCTCTGTGCAGTAAAGTACTATGTAAAATGACGAGTACGTGCGCAAAGATTCGAGATTCGCATTAAAGACAACCGGGGAGTTTATATTCCTGTTCACCGTTCTCCTTATCACAAGGTAACACAAAACACGAGACGGTTGTAAATTCTACAATGTACGCAAAATCCCCAGTTTTATGGCGTCTCATAAACTCCTTGCTTTAACTTTCTCCAGCCTCCTGACACCTACGCAGAGTGGTCCGAGAAATCGCTACTTCAAGTCCTTTTCAACGGTGGGTGGTACTTAACGAGCAAAAACAAATGGATTCGCACGAACGAAATCCGAGCAAAGGACGCAGGTTAATTCTGCGAAGTGGGAATAAGATTTGCAGCCCTCTCCGCTGTCATTTGAGTAGTTTAAAACATCATTGTTCTCAGAATGGAGATTTCCGTATTTTTCCTCATTTAAATTTTTATGAGAAGAAAGCGAGTAGCCACGCGGAATATAACCGATCCGTGCGGATTTACCCCCCCCCCCTTCCTCAGGGGGCAACTTACAATTTCAGCAGATATTTTTATTAAAGGAACTCCGTATTCTTCAACCCCGGAAAGGTGTGTATATGTCAAATTGTCGAAGGCAAATAGTCAAATCAGGCATCTTGTCAAATGCCTAGGCAAACAGTCAAATATTCTTTCTTCGATTGAAATTTTGATTTTTTATCCTAATTTCAGGCAAAATAATTCGTTGCTCCTGTAAGAAAGAATTCTCTGTAAAAATATGCAGCGTACAGTAGTACTTTAAACGATTTTGAGATCCTGAATGCACATTTCTCATAAAATTTTCAGCACATCATGAAATATAGAATTTTTAAAATTTTAACGTTTAAATGTACTACAAGCATGTAAAAAGGAAGGAACAAGGAGAGTTCGCGAATTTAAAGAGTTATTTTTCCCAAAATACTGAAAACCCGTGAACTCCTCGCCATAAATTTCCGGAATTCCGTAAACCGTCAAAATTTTACAACCGGCCTAGGCATTTAACATAATGCCTGATTTGACTATTCGCCTCGACATATATACCCCGCTGCATATTCTCACCTCCGGCGAGAAATTAGACGAAAGGAGCATAAAAATAGAATTTTAAAAATAAAAACCTTTATGTTTAGGTGAGCGGAACAAGGCATAGGCTGCTGCGACGGCGACTTTCTCATCATCATCGCTCGTATCAGTGTCCTCGTCGCTGTAGAAAAGTCTGAGGCCTCTCTTGGCCACCGCTGACCACGGCGTGATGTTGTACATGTATTTTTCTCGAAGTTCGCCCAGCTCCGGAAGACTAATACTTGATATTGCCTAAAGAAGGAATGAAACATCATGTAAATACACTAAATTTGGCCTACTTAATCGAACAGTGATTGGACAAGCACAAATTGCGAAACTACAAAAACGTGTAACTCGGGCTGAAGCCCCGCAGCGCAGCCCTTCTGTCATGCGATGTAAATCTTAAATTGAAAAATTTTCAATGTCATGTGCTAACTTCCCTGCTTTGTTTCTCTATGTGATGAATACTCCGTGAAAAAGTCTTAGAATGGTGTTGATTCATTCGCCTTTGATGAAATAAAATAGGAGAGATTTTGCAGTGACAGGAGACTCTTCACGGGCCTCTTCGTGACAGGTGGTAGCTTTTAATTTCGGGGATTCAACAATTCCTTATGGAAAAGTATAAGGAAGCAACAGTCATCACTCGTATTTCGGCTATTGACCTACCTACATGGTAAATGGTTTAGCCTCGGGTGACGTCATGAGCCAAACAAGCTTCCCAAACTTCGGCTTGTTTGCAAAACGAAACTGCCAACTCGTTGTTGAACATCAACCATGTAGGTAAGTAAACAGTAGAATGCTGAAGTCCCGAAAGTAAAAACTTCCACCATTGCCAAGATACTAGAGGAGGGTCTCTTGCCTCTGAGAGTTTGAAACCTCGCAAACAAAAAGTGCGTCATTGTAGTTTCACCGTCGATACTTCATTAAGTTTCAGGTTGCCCCAAACCGGACGAGTATCTCATTTTCTGGAACAACACAGCTATTAAGGTATACTTCGAAGGTAGGACAAGGAAAATACATAAGTATTGATATGATGTTCCTGTGTTTAAAAAAAAGGTATCATATTTTTACGGGAGAATGAAGCAGTTTTATTGCTCGTTTTCAAAATATTTTTCACACTTGGAAAAACCAATTACCCTCCCAGAGATCATCAGGCATTTGGCACCTTCTGATCTCCTCCTCCACCCCTTGGCAAAGGCCAACGGGGGCAATGGCGATTGGGCGTCGCAGAGCGCGAGGCTGCGCTATAAAAGCGGCTCTACGTGTGTATGTATGTATGTATGTATGTAAAAACCAATTACGGAAGTCGTTCAAATATGACGATGAATGGCTTCTCATTTAAAGTATATGGCAGGACAAGAAAGTAACGTCGCGGGAAGTTCTGGAATATTGTAGGACGAACTCAGTTACCCCCGGATAAAAGAGAAATTATTCCCAAAATCTAAGAAGTAATGGTATAGTATTTACGACCTTTAAACGTTTTCCGCTTTCAATAGGAGATGAAAGGTGGCTAAAATTTGTAATGAAAAAAGTGCCTGCTCTGAAGGCTATTTAAGTAAATGTCGGAAAAAATCAGTTGCTCTAAAAATTCCTGTGGCCCCGGGCAGCGTTTTCTTTCTCTCTCCCTCGGCTATTCCGAGGCAAGGTTTCAGAGTTCTTTTTCTTGCTTCATCAGTCAAATTATAAAAAAGAAAGTTCCTCAACCTGTGACTTCTTTGTTTCTTCTTTGACCAAGACTCCTGGGTCCATATAATAAAGTGGAATATGACTGCTGATTTCAAGTTTTGAGCTCACACATGACAATGTGTGTCAAAACCAAGAGAAATTCTGATTTACACATTTTCTATTTATGTGCAAGCCTCCAGGGAAATTTTGCATCGCAGAGCTTAAAATAGTATTTTTTCATATGAAAACATGCAATCGTTTCCTACGAAAATTGAGCAGCAGGTTGTAAAACAAGCTCCATGACCAAGTAACCCATTAGAATTCTTTACAAGAACTAACCTTAACAAGATGGTCTGCATCCATCAGTCCAATTTCGAGCATCTCTCGCGTGAGAACACCCATGATGCTGTAAAACTCGTCAGCACTATCTACAGCCATTATCCGACTGAAAAAGACAGGCGAATTGTTAACACTAATCGCAAGTACTCAAAAATATCAAATTACACTGATGTCATTTTGCAAGCATGGGCAAAACTAGGGGGGCCAGAAGGGGCCTGACCACTTCCCCTCCCCAGAAATCTACTTTTCTCCTCCCAAGATACTTGAAGGATTTTGCAAAGAGAGCTCTTGATATATCTTTTTTTCTTTCTTTTATCTCTACTCGTATTCATTTATGTAATCTTCCAACATATGGAATTATATACAGTGTTTTTAACATAAATTCACAAAGAAAGGCAAACAACCGGGTAGTTTGACAGGTTCGACATATCTTTCATCATATAAAGTGTAAAAAATTCCTGGCTCCGATCATGCCCCTGTGGAAGTCATGAAAAAAACTACCAATAATTATTATCAGGTGGCCACTTTCTAGTCGAAATAATTTTTTCTATTATCAGGTGAATCTTAGCAATAAGTCGTAAATGATAATTTTAAGCCAGCGAACATGTTACCTTGCTCATGCAATTGCGTGTATACATATATCATCAATCATACAGGGTGTTCGAAAAGTCCCCTCCCCCCCCTCTAACTTTTGACCTAATTGAGGTAGAGATTTGAAACTTGGAGGGTGTTCCTAGATCAAAGGGAGCTACTTTTTGACCCCCCCCAAAATTTTGGGGGGCCCCATTTGGGGGGGGGGGTTACGGACCCTAACTTTTAATTTTCAAACGGGAAGACCCCCTTTGTGATACCTCGTTCGAAAGAGCATAAAAAAAGAAAATTTTTCGCGCAAACCGGAAGTCATTATCTCAAACCGTTTCAAAATGGCGGCCGGTCAAAGTTCCAAATGGCCGAAAATTGGCACCTCTGCTATTTGCACATGGATTTGCTTGAAACTCGGTATCTGGAGGTATTTTGGCACGAGAAAAACGAATTTAACGTTAGATTTTCAAAAAAACCCTAATTTTTCAAAATGGCGACCGGTTTAGGCTCAAAAAGGCCGAAAATTTGACAAACTCGATTTTTTTGCCAATGGATTCACCTGAAATTCGGTATCTGGGGGTATTTTGACCCGAGAATAACGAATTCAACGTTAAATTTTTAAAAAAAACCCTAATTTTTCAAAATGGCCGCCGATTAAAGTTCAAAATGGTCAACAATTGGCAACCTCGACTTTTTGCCGATAGATTCGCCTGAAACTCGGTGAAATAACGTCGAATTCGTTTGTCTCCCACCCAGATACCCTCTAACACCGAGTTTGAGGCGAATCTATCGGCAAAAAGTCGAGGTTGCCAATTGTTGACCATTTTGAACTTTAATCGGCGGCCATTTTGAATAATTAGGGTTTTTTTAAAAATCTATCGTTGAATTCGTTATTCTCGGGTCAAAATACCCCCAGATACCGAGTTTCAAGCAAATCCATGTGCAAATAGCAGTGCCAATTTTCGGCCATTTGGAACTTTGACGGCCGCCATTTTGAAACGATTTGAGATAATGACTTCCGGTTTGCGCGAAAAATTTTCTTTTTTTATGCTATTTCGAACGAGGTATCACAAAGGGGGTCTTCCTATTTGAAAATTAAAAGTTAGGGTCCGTAACCCCCCCCCCCCAAAATGGGGCCCCCCAAAATTTTGGGGGGGGGTCAAAAAGTAGCTCCCTTTGATCTAGGAACACCCTCCAAGTTTCAAATCTCTTCCTCAATTAGGTCAAAAGTTAGAGGGGGGGAGGGGACTTTTCGAACACCCTGTATGTTTAAACACTGGAAATGGCTCTCTCTAATATTTCTATTGTAGATCATAGCGACCGCAACTTTAATTATAAGTTATAACATCTCCAATGTGAAGCAGTAATATCTAGATCAGTTAAACATCACACTCATTCTCTTCCTTCACGATGGGTTACTTTCTCTCTCCTCGGAGAGGGGGGCCGGGGGTGGTTGGATGCTCATGAAACCAAGAGATAATAATGCATCGTATTTGTTTAAAGGTAAACTTTTGCAGATGAAACTTACTCGGATAAGGAGTCCCAAATAGCCAGAGCCGTTTTCAGCAAAATCTCATTTCCCTCGAGAAAGATGAGGTCCCATACTCTGAGGACCATCGACTGGGGAAGACAGTTGCAAAACAAGGTCAAAAACCATTGCATAGTGAACACATTTGTCAGAGGTGGCTCGTAGCTGGTGCCTGCAACAATCAAAATATTAATTGATGAAAAAAGTATATGCTACAAGCACAAACAGTTATATATCCGCTGTCGCGTCTCTGCATCGTTATCGACACGCGCCCTTTTCCTTGCTCTGTTTCCATGTTGAGTTCGTTCCGTTCGTCATGTTTTTACAGTGGCACCTTAAAGGCTACGCGAGCAACACACTTGAAAACAAGACAAGTGTAATCCGGCCACGTTTTTTTTGTTAAAAAAATTGTCTCCCGAATTTGAGCGACACACGACACATCACTAGCAGCATAGAGCGGAGCATTGCGAGTTCACGCCTCGCGCCAGCGCGCCTTCAATTTTATAGACGCAACGCGGACATCCATCAAGCACGAATATTTGTATCTCGGCGCCGTCATCAATGCACGCCGCGCCGTATCCATTCCTCTATTGCCGTGTTGTGTTGGCCCCGTTTGTGTTATTTGTAGTGGTGCCTCAAGGAGTCAAGGGCTATGTATGCAATACAGCCAAAGTTAGGAAAGGCGTAATCGGGCCTCGTTTTTTAACGTTCCTCCCGAATCTGAACGACACCTCACTGATAGCTGAGACGAAGCATTGATAGTTCACGCTTCATGGCATCGCGCCTTCCATTTTGCAGATGCATGCAACATGGATATCCATCAAGCACAAATATTCGTACCTCTACGCTGTCATCAACATTAGATAAGGTGTTGCTTCTTTTAAAAATTGAGAAAAGTTGAGGTTAAATTTGCTTAAAATATGCTTTAATGTTTCCAAATCAGTAATCATTTTTGGGGAAAAAGGTAAAATAAGTTTATAGAGGCCTCTCAATCGCCCCAAAGGGTGCACGTCTAAAAATTGGTATTTTGGTGAGAGTTGTATCTTTCTGGGGGTTCGTACCTTCTCATTTGTTTGACGACCACTAGAAATCCCAAGCCGGGTCAATTCACCCGACTATCTCTCTTTACCTGTCTTGTAATCTCTATCGGGGATGTGGCGGGTGAGGATAGGGGATAAAAAGCGCTAGTATATTGTCAAGAAGGTACAAATTTCAAAGAAAACTTTTCTCACCCTCAAAAATAGACATAGGATAGATAATACTTCAAAAACTATCAAAATCAATGTATTTAAATACGAGTCAATTTGATCCGACTTGGGAACATTGCGTGTAAAAGAAGTTTTGAGCATCTAAAGATTAAGTCTTTTTCAGAATGACCATTCAATTGTTAGCTGAGTCCTCTTCAAAGCTTGCTCTGACGCTTGGAAAACTCAAAAGACACAAATTAGTGGTTCGCCAAGGTAGAACGTCTGAATCTACGTTGTACAGAATTCTCTCTTATTAGAGGGAGAGGATTCACAAAGTTAAAAGAAAATTATATTCTTCCGAGGGGAATAATTTTACGAGTATTTTCCTTCCCCCTGTGATAAAGTTAATTGGAAACCTTCGCTGGCATATCTTTCTACAGTTTTTTTTACGGCGTGAGTCTTTAGAATGATGAAGAGATCATGCAGTTTTGAATACTGTGTAGTTAACTCAGTGTGCGTGCGTGGCTTGTTTTCTTTATTCTCTTCGGAAAGGAGCCTAGGAGTCTGGATCTGAGAATAATAATTTTGTCGATTTAACAAACTAGTTGAATTACGTTTTGATTTTAAACGCATACTGGAGAAAATTTTCACCGCCAGGCTCTGATTTCTCCCTGTTTCCCTCAATTTTGAAGAGAGGACGAAAATCTCCTTTCTTCCGTTATACATATCGATGGCCAAACCGCGAAACTACGTATCTCCATTGCGATGTTTCAAAATTTTCGCTCCTGCTATTTTGTTTTTACGTTTACTGCAGAACATTGACTGCTGTGCGCTCTGCCATGCTGAAGAAAAACACCAAGAACATTCGGAAGAGACCGAATTTCTCCCCGTAAAATATTTATTTTTTCAGTGGAGTTTTGAATATTTTTCCTGAAATTTTTTTAGATACTTTAGATTGAATTGCTACCGAAATTCTCCGAAAGCTTGGAATAAAAATATTGAGAAGCTTACCTTAAAATTTGTATTACAGCAACGGAAATTTGGCAACATCTGAAGTCCCCTACGATGTTTTTTTTTTCTCAGCATGTTTGTGCTGAGCACGCAACATTTCCTATCGAGTACGGCTCGAGTACGGTACTGCCGTGCTAAGAAAGTGCGCCGTATAAACATTCGAGAGTTGTCAAATTTCCCTTGATAAAACATGAATTTTTGACGACATTTACGCACATTTTTCTTTGAAATCTTCAGATATTTTAGCTTGAATTGCGTAAAAAATAGTCTGAAAATTTTGGAAAAAAATATGCACAAGTTTCTCAGTAAAGTCGGGTTTTATCGAAGGGAACTTAGCGACGTCTGAAGGCTCATACGGCGTTCTTCCTCAGCTCGGCAGGGTAGGTGAACGGTATGTGTACGTTATTCCTTCATATCGTTAATAACGAACAAGCTTGTTTTGAGGTCACATTGTGAGAGGACTTTTGAATCGATAAAAACTAATTGGAATGATTCAATCTCCATTTAGAGCATGAGCTGAGAGCTTAAGGACCTCGAAAATGCAGCCTAACTTGCACTATACGGCTCGAGCGGTTACGCTGTTTATGCAAATTAGAAATTAACCGTTCCAATTAAAATATGTCAAAGCATTGTATCCATTAGCGGTCGTTTGATAACGTTTGGACAAGTGAACGTCCATTCGCGGGAGCATTTAACCTTTTCGGATGCCTTTGTTGGCGTTCCAACAAGTACATCAAACAAACAAATTTGAGAGTAGCCCGAGGCTACCGAGCATCAAGCGCTTTTGAGCACTATCCTTTGAACAATGCATAGGTGAGGTCTGATTGAGAGCATCAAAACTGAGCGTTTAGAGGGGTAAATGCACCAACTCAAACAAATGAAACAAACAAGTTAAATACTAAAATAATAATCCGGTGTATTTTATCCAAGTTATATACCAGTTGCAAAAAAAGGAACGATGAATAATTAATACACGATCGACGGACCTTATAAAAATCGATCTTTTGAAACTCATGAGTTCGGGATGATTTCGTGAGGATTTTTGATATATTATTTATCTCCTAATATGATGTTCTTTACCTGAGTCTTTTGAGTCATTTTGAAGTTGATCCAGGTGCCTGGAGAGGGCTGGAAACCTCAATTTTAGCAACTCCCGGAAAACAGCCATGTCCACAGAGAGCCCCCTCAGGTTGTTTGCAAAGTAACTTTCTGGCAAGACACCTTCTATTAAATAAATCATAACCTAAACAACATAATGAAAAAGAAGAAAAAAACATGAGTAGAATGACCCAGGTGTGATGGCAAAAAATGTGATTGTCAATCGAGTCATCTTAAAGCTCTTCTTCACGTTCAAACTGAAGCTCTCAAACTGGCTTTGATTTTTCACTTTCCAGCCAGCTTCGTACGAAATTCTTTGAAATTCCCCAGAGCTAATCTATGATTCGTCCCAAATATATTGGTTGGTTCAAAGGTCGTCGTCCTGACGATCTTTAAACTGTCAACAGGCACACCGCGATAATCCACTTTGAAGTCTCTATTTTAAACGTGGAGAACATTCATTTTTTTCAATATTGTATTTACCTCATTGCCCGAGAATCCTTGTAAGTGCTTCAGTATGATGACTGATCAGGTATACAAAATGCCAGAACCACTGGCGAGGTATTGGAAATATGGTAAAGAATCTACTTTTACGGTGTTTGTTGCAAACACCCTGTTCATCGATCCTTTTCCATAAGTTTAAATGGCAGATCAAGATATCGCAAAGCACGCCACGCCACTGCCCAGAGCAAACAAAAGGAGACGATAACGGCTCAAATACGATAGCGATAGTCTAAAACATAAGTATGGTTTCGAAAATAAGAGACTTATTATTTGAGTCTTCTGTAAGCTTGGGGCTAAAATCTTCGGATTCAAATTCAACATTGTGCCCTTTATATGCATGGACACAATATTAGGCTAAACCCCTCGCTTCTGTTTTTCTTATGACCTGAACTTCCTCAGTCAAAAACTCGAATTGTCATTTTTTATACGTGACGAAAAAAGCCTCTCTAGATAAAAATACCGCAGCGCAACAAGGTCCGCTGTTTAAAATCTCCGCTCCTATTTTATTTTTTTAAAAGGAAACTAAACCAACATCATCGCTCGAAATGTTCACAGCATATTCTTTACGTAGAGAAGAAAAATCACCGAAGTTTTCATGAAATGGCGTTGGGTAAGTTTATAATTTAGAAAATAAAGCAAAACAGGAAGTCTGCGACGTCACAGACCGAGGTACGCCTTTTTATAGTTTCACCGTTGATATTAAGGAAAAGTTTGCTTTCATACGTCTCAGAGCTCAAAACTCCATTGCACTTCTCAATCTCAGTGGCGTGGCGTGAATTGCGATTTATCGATTGTTATGCCATTTAAACCTATGGTAAAGAATCGATTATTAAGGTGTTCGCTGCGAACACCCTGTTTATCGATACTTTTCCATAGGTTTGAACGGCCGATCAATCGATACATCGCAAAGCACGCCACGCCACTTCTCAATTTCCCGGGAGATCAGTTGACCGCTGACTTACCTTCACTGAATTGGGCTGCGACCTATCCATCACCTGCAAAATTAAGGCTGCCAGCATGTTGAACCCTTGACAGTATCCAACATTTTTATTCCACCGCGCGTACGCCAACAGAACTCGTTTCAAGACTGCCTGATTATGTTGACCCGACTGTCCGCAAAATAAACTACACCCTGTTCTATGAAGGTCCTGCAACACATAGGAGATCACTTTAAAATAATGCTGACGACACCATACTGAGCACTTGCAACGGAACAAAAAATTGTACTTTGATGTAAATTATTACCTATTTCAGGCGCTAAAGTATTTAAAATATATGTCCATTAGAAAGTGGATTCAATTTTACCGAGGCCGCCAAAAAAATACGGGTATCGGGACAAAATTAGGTGGCGGACCCTCGGGGGGTCTGGGGAAGAAGCCCCCCCCCCCCGGCTGAAAAACAGGTAGCCTGAGGATGTTTCTTGGGCCATTTTCACAATTGAAGGTACTAAAGATGGATTTTTGAGCTTACTCAATGTGAATTTCAATCCTTCTGAATATAGTCAGCGTCTATAGGAGCCCACGGTCCCATCATTTTTACAACTGCCTCCAGGGTGGAGGCCTGCCAAACGTGACGTCCAAGATTTAAGAGAAGACAGGGGCCAGTGGGGCTAATGGAACTGCAAGAGAGGCCCCCAAACTTGGATAAAAAGCAAAAATTATGCTTACTCGTAAGGCGCCGAGACTCCAGGGTGGAGGCCTGCCAAACGTGACGTCCAAGATTTAAGAGAAGACAGGGGCCAGTGGGGCTAATGGAACTGCAAGAGAGGCCCCCAAACTTGGATAAAAAGCAAAAATTATGCTTACTCGTAAGGCGCCGAGACGTATTAATAAATTGCTCCAGGTCCTCATAAATTTTAGAGCCGATTCGGCCCAGACGAACCCGGGCTGCGGGACAGGAGTCCCTTTTCTCCCTCTCTGAGCAGCCCTCAACTTCCCTCTTGAAAGTCTCTTACTGGTGATCTTCACTTTCAACATTTCTCTTTGAAGCTATACATTCCTCCTCTGAATTAATCTAAACGCGAAAACTCGTAAAAGAAAGTCTAGCTACGAAAAATCTGGGTAATAGAGACATTCCTTATATTACTGTGCTCTGAATATTGCTTAATAATATGAAAAAGTGACATTAAATTCGAGTTTCCATCTTTGTATTGTTTGAAACGGGCCAGAATGACAGAGAAGGAGTATCTCATAACAACCAATTACAGGGAATCGAGGCAGTCATGGAAGAAAAATAATTATAGTTATAACTGCGTTTTTTCTGTCTCGAGGAAGCTGCCCAACGCCGACGGCCCCACTGGTTTCTTTGATTGTTATTCGCAATATTTGAAGTTTTGCATTTCACTTTTAGCATTAGATATTACTAAAAGAAACTCACATTTAATATAGATTGCCTCCTTAGCATATTTAGAATATGAATGAATAGATTTTGAAATGTAATGGCTAGTGGGGGAGTGTTTGGAACAGTTGACATATTTTGCGTGACTGTGTCAAGTAAAGTATTTTTCACCTCCCTTCAAAAACAATGTCGAAACATATGTTGAGCAATGCTCCCGGTGTTTATCTGAAATACGCGAAGAGATGAGCCATGAGTGCGCACCATCAGCAATGTAAACAATCCTAAACTACAATGCAAAAGTATTTATCCCCGAAGTCAAAACACCAACTAGCAAGTAAGTTAATGAAGGAAGTTCAACTAGGCAAAGAGCCGGTGAAAGTGGTCAAAGTTCCTACGGTATCATGAGTGCAGGCGAGGCATACGCAATTCACACGTAGGAGGAACGTACGCTTAACGGTGTAGTGCTTGAAGTATTTCAGCGATGTCGAAGGCGCTGAATTCAGTGCATGCGGACGAGCCTTCTGTAAGTGATAATTTGAATTCGCGGGGTCTTCTCTCGGATCCAGATCGAGTCGACACCCAGCGGTGGGCCGAATCCTGAAAATAAGTGCAGGTTGGTGCTATTGCACAGCCCCCTCATGCACAGCCCAATAACACAATAATCGTTGATAATTCATTCATTTAAAATCAATGCTAGGTACAGCATTTCTATCATAACTTCTAGGACTTTTTAGTAATCAGTGGGAAACAATCAGAATTTTCGGTCGGCACAGCCGGAAATTCTAGTTCTGAAATACAATAATACTTTTGGGTCATCCCATATTCAGAGGTAAAAACCAGGAATTTTTTTTCAGTGTAAATTTGAAGATTTTTCGATTTCCTCACATGTTTTATTTTTTCACAGAAAATTAAGAAGCATTTTAACTTGAAATTTTGCGAACAAATTTTTTTTGTAATCGGAATTAATTCACAGAAATTTTCAAAATATAATGTTGTTGAGCTAATGAAAATTAGTCAAAGGATGATATGCTATATATTTGACTAATTTTGATTACATTTAAATCCATTCGCGTACAACAAAAATAAACCGGTGAGAGAAATATGACATTAAGTCTACAAGAAGAGATTCGAATCAAAGCTCTATGGTTTCCAAACTACCTGAATTTTAGTTTTAGTTATATGCTTCTAAATTCATCGCGACAAAATGTCATTAAAAAAGGGCTCATCTCATTGACACTTTTAAAATCGCATCAGTGAGCACCGACGAGTTCTTCCTTCTTCCTTTCTTGTTTCCGCCCTCCATTTTTCATTTTTCAGGTGTATTTCGATCCCGCAAAAAAGAACTTGATACCGAGTGATAGAGGAACATTTTCACGACTGTGAATAAAATACGAAGCCTTTGAATTTTCTCCATTAAGTTGGCATTTGAAAGCGGCAGATTCAACGGTGACGGTGAGTGATCGCAATTTCATTGCCGATACATTCCCGTAAAGCTGAAAGACGGACTATACTGAACACTTCATCCCCCCTACCCCTCCCCCCATCCCCCCACCTATTCGATCCCCGGAGCTGTTTTTTTATTTACGCGATGTCCCACTTTGATGGGCTCCAAGGCATTCGCAGAGACGTTTATTTAAGGGAGCCTCTCATTGTAATTGCCTGAGATGAAAAGCAAAAGAAAAACAAAAAAAAGTTTTTCAGGGAAACTGAACGATGCAAAGTCAACACTTCATTTCGTCTTTAATTCGCTGGTATTCAGCCTCTTGAATAAAGCAATTTACACCGGCATTTAATGCATCGCTCTACTTTGGAGGATAAACGGGAACTGGGTCCTCTTGAGGTTGATAAACTAAGACTCTCGAGTGATTGCTTGTCAGTTCCGGTCAATATTGTCCCACAAGATGTAAACGAGCAACAAAAAAGGGAACCTCCCAATATTTGGACTAGGAAATCCTGCAAATGATAACCTGATAAGCTAGAGATAGGAACATGGAGTGCCTGGAGGATATTCTTCCAAATTGCAAAAAAATAGGCAAAATTAATTTGTAAAAGAACACGAAAGGTTACCTTGATCCGCACCTTTAAAAAAGCATTTAAGAAGACCCGTTTTCTTGTTCACCCCAAGATGCCTGAATCATAGAGTCTACATGGACTTACAAAGTTAAAAGTAATTCTAAATAACGTTCGCGAATACGTGTGATGCGATTTTGACATCATTTTAAGTTTTTAGAAGTTCTTTTTCGCTTGTTGTTGGGTTTTTTTTCTTCTTTTAAAATTGTTTTAATAATTAATTTTACATTTATTTGTTATTTCCAAAGAAATACACGTAAAGTACGTCAATCATACGTTTTATCCTTTTCCATAACTGTAAGCCATCCCATTGGTTTGATCGTGTAGCTCTCCCACATACCTACACTTACGATCCTAACGGAAAGCAATAACAATTTCCACATCACTGACGTTCTCAATTGAACAGCTTTGGGACTATAAAATAAAAACAAAACAACCGAGGTATGGCAGGAAGGTACTCCGTATGTTTTCGCTATTTTGCCATAAAGGCATAACTTCATTTTCACTTGAATCCCAGGAAAGATGGAGTTGTATGTAAAGTAGGTATCATTTTTCAGTGTAGTCACGCCCTTACATTAGAGACACAACGGCTCGTTTTCAGTGCATACTGCAGTTGGTATGAGAAGCCAAGGCTGCGCTATTAAGCTCATAATAAAGACCATCAATGGATGCACTTCAGACTCAAGAGCATGGGCTGCAAAACTGAACATTGATTCACCCGGATTTCTATTTCTCTCTCTAAAATTGGATACAATGGTACCAGTAGATGTAAAATCTTGCATGGCTTATGCCAAGACAAATTGGCAGACATTCAGCCGAGTCAGAGAGAGACAAGGGAGGTTGCAGTCTCGCACAACCCGATTGTTTATCTTCATAGATAGGACACCACGGAGTATGATATGAGTGGACTGGGATCAAGTTATGGCACATAAAAATTTAAGTGGGTACTTTTGGTGGAAATCTCACCAGTCGTGCGTGGTTTGCTTTTTGTTCTTTGAGAAAACGAATAAAGACAGACATAAAAAAGATGTCGATCACTATCTGAAGGTTGTGAATAGAAAACAAAATTTTATCGAGTTTTTTAAACCCCTCTGAAAAGTACTCTCTTCCGTAGAATTTGTATGAGTCATTTCCGAAGATTGCTTCCTTTATTGCGTTTAAAAACTACTTGTGTAAAGATGTAACTAAAATTTTTAAACCCTCTATTCAGGATTATCAACTTGCTTTCGAAAATGGTTAGGAGATGCACGCGCACGGCTTAATCTATCATAAACTAACTTGTTTTAATTGTTAAAATTGCATTAATTGTTTTCGTTTCTGATATAACTGCTGCCCAATAATGCCAGACATTTGTAAATATTAATTTTTATGATCAAAATCTCCAAACGATGGGATACATATTGCAACGTAGAAATATGCGAGTTTGAGACATAGTGTGATATCACTAACGCGTTAGACACGGGTAATTGTTTGGCAGCACCACCATCAGCTTAATTAGGCTCAAGTTTCCGGGTTCGCTTAATTTTGCTCTTGTTGCTCCCCTTACGTTCAGACATTATCCTTCAGGCAGTAGCGGAGACAAATAAAATTCTTCTGTGAGCTAAATAACCAAGGGCTCAGTATCAAAGAAGTGAAATGAAAGAAAAAGAAAAAACCCTGCAAAAGAAAAACGCCAAATGAGATTTGAATGTTGTAAAATTTAATTTGAAAGAAAGCGATGAATATTCTTCCATGACATTTTTAGATATATTAGATCAAATTGCGAACAAAACCGTCTGAAAAATTGAAAGAAAAATATTTTCAAATTTCTGAATTAAATTGTATTTTATCAAAGACGATCTGGCAACACCTTGAGGCTCACGTTTTTCCTCAGCACGGCAGAGTAGAGATTTCGGTTAAAAATAATTTTTGAAGGAAATGAGATCTTTTTACGAATGCATGGGCAAACAGCAGTGGCGTGGCGTGAAGGATCGATTATCGATTCGCCATTTAAAGCTATGGTAAAGAATCGATTACTAAGGTGTTTGCTGCGAACGCCCTGATAATCGACCTTTTTTCATAGGTTTGAATGGCGAATCAATCGATAAATCGCAAAGCGTGCCACGCCACTGGCAAACAGATTTTGATGTGTATGAGGAGCACTCGAACAGGTTGTAAGTCCATGCAGTTTCAATTAAGGAGCGTTCTAAGAGTGTATGAATTTCACAGCTTACCTTAACTATTTGTACTCCTAATTCCTCATCATCTGGATTGGTCCATTCGTTGAAGAGACTCCTGCTCACTTGTGGCCAGTCGACTCCTCGCGCAGCCAAATGTTGCTCCGCCAGCGTCAGCCATAGCTGAAATAAAGGTTAAAAATTCCCGATCATCAAGAAAGGAAGGGATTTTCAAGAAAAATGTTTGTTTCTTGGGAAGAGTCGACTCCTCGAGCAGCCAAATTTTGCTCCGCCACACAGTAGATCGAGTCAATTAGAGAGGTCGGACATGAAATTTTTGGCAAAAACTTCGAATTTTGATGTTTATTTCGTCACATTTCAAACTTCAAGGGGTGCTGTCAGCAGAAAATTTCACGAGGAAACCAATGGAACAACTTTGAGAGTCTTAAAGTGTTGTATAAACGGAGTTATAGCGTTTAAAATTTCCAAATTTTGTCCGACCTCTCCAATGGACTCGATCCACTGTGCGCCAGCGTCGGCCATAGCTGGGTTAAGACTTCTCAATCAACAAGAAAGGTAGGGATTTTCAAGAAAAATGTGTGCTCGTTGGAAAGAGTGCATTGCTTACAGAAGAAAAAGGATGTTAGTAATTACTAGATTCCTGATTACATAAGATCCCCGGGAAATTCAGTTATCAGCATTAAATAATCAATAGTGATACTGGCACATAGAGCCACACGCTTGAATAATTTAGCACTGGTCACTAGATTTCCTGGGCATCATATTGTCACCTTCCGGGCAATGTATCACGAGCGCCATTAATGATAGGTAAATTGCGACACAGAATCGCGTTTTTGGGGTGCGGGACTTTTCTAGTTTAAAAATAACAATTCAGCCGTCAAAAGTCTTAATTTTGAACTTATTAAAAGTAATCTATCGGCTATTGTTTTATTTAAATTGGTTTGCTAAATATATAAAATACCCACAGAGTATCACAAGCGCCAAAATAGACACATAATTTGACTTCTTTCTCTCTCCTCAAATTTTATCCACATCAGTTGCTGGGGCTGCCTCTGAACGTACATACAAAATATCAGATCTCTGATGTGTTTATGACAGCTACATGAGATTACCTTTTTCAATTTTACATTATTCTTGTGAGAGGTTGGCGCACAATTGACGCTTGCGATACTAATAATCAAGAATCTAGGAACAATTGACATTATCTGTTATGTATATTAAAAAGGCGACAAACCATCGGAGTCAATCTCACTTCAAACTGATTCTTGATTATCAATAAGAGTTATAAACAATCTCCAAACTTGACGATTCAATCCTTCGAGAACTATGAGAGGCGAAAGTCAAGTAAATGCCGATCGATTGTTGGATCGTTATCGATTGACTTTGATCGATATATCTCTATCGCAGCGATGCTTTCTATCTATCAAAGTTGTTCACGACCGAATCAACAATCGATTCATCGGGTTATTTCAGCTCCCCTCAAACAAAGCGAAGCCGGTGCGGTGACATTTAAGGATCTATTAACGACGACGCGACAGTCCGATATCGTATTGTTCTGGCTTATAAGAGGCACTTCTATAGAGGACCCCGGACCCCCGAAAGCTGTGATAAAATTAGCCTGTTACCTTACCGAAGTAATTATTCAGAGGAAGCTTGCGGTCAACCCTTGTGATTCTAAAATAAAATTTGAGAGCCCCCGACAAAATGACCTCGGTCTACAACAATTCTAAGTTGAGTTGCCGATATTAGAGCATGGAAGAGCATTTTTGAGCATTATGAAACACAACGGCCCTAAAACTTCAAAAGAAACTGGTGGTATGTCTAAAACTTACTTTTCAGATTTATTTTTATTTAAATAATTAAATTTAATTTACTTTAATTGTTAGTGCAGGGTCGTTAAACTATATTATAATTTATCACTATGAATACACTATAAGTAGCAATATCTGCGATAGTTCTATTTACAGCTCGATTCGTCTTTCCTTCTCTCTCTCTCTCTCTCCCTCCCTCCCTCTCTTCCCCCTCTCTCCCCCACTGCCCCTCTCCCTCTCTCTCCCTCCCCCTTTCTCTCTCTTTCTCTCTCTTTCTCTCTCTTTCTCTCTTTCTCTCTCTAAAATAAGAATGAAAATGAACGTGTATATCAATAACGGCTAAGGTTTTCTATACCACATGTTATATCATCGCTCACCCGCCGAGTGCTGAATTAGAATGAATTCGCTTTATTTTTGGAATCCATGGTTTGATACCTTCCGTCACTTCAAGGCATCAGTTTTTCGGGGAAAACGTTAATTATTCTGTTTCATAATACTCCCTGACCTATGCGACTAATAATACGTAGTCAAACTTACAAACTCGTCTCGTTCGAAACCCCATTGAAATACAAAATTCATGAAAAAAGTGAACATAAACTCTGGCTCAATAATCCAGATGAACACCCTCCTCTTTGCCCTTTTCCCTTTTTTCCATCTATCGTAATCCATAAGTCGCTCGTGTTTGATTAATCCAACGCCATTTTCGAACTGCACAAAAGTTCACGTCATTCAAAAATAAATCGTCGCTCTCCACACGAAAGTGCGCAACAACATTTTGACGCTGCAAACTTTCCTTCCTCTGATTGTTGAAAATGAAAATGAAAATGTTGAGCGTTTGGAATCAAGAAGATGGGCAGTGACTGATATGTGTGGATTGGTTTTGATTGTGCGTAAAATTTCGATGAGAAAACATACATTGCTGTACATAATCTGGACTGCACATCTGCTCTTGCCTTTAACTGGGCAATTTAATTTTTTACAAGAGAACTTTGTGCGGATTCTATTGAAAACTTAAAGGAATTTGCTTCTATTACGCAAAATATATACTGAAATTTGCACAAAAATCCGCACAACCGTTTTTATGTAAAAAATTAAACTGCCCCGTTGCATTTGGCAATAGTTAAGGTGATTCGATGGACGCCATATTTTGTGTCAAAACAGCATGCGATATATCGCATCAATTGGTTCCATTTTTTCAGCTACTCGTCATTTTTCTCCAATTTTGAGATCGCAATTCTGTTGTTGGGAGACTAAAGCACTCACTTACCAATTTTAGCAGAGAAATTCAACGTAATAAAGGCTTGGTTTTTTTTAGAGAGAAAACATAGCATTCGATACTGATATCGAAACTGCACTCGAATGCGATATTTTCTCTCTAAAAAAAACCACGTCTTTATTACCTACGTTAAATTTCTTTGTAAAAATTGGTAAGTGAGTGCTTAAGTCTCCTGACCAAAAAAAAAAAAAAAAAACAAGAAATTAGGAAGCACATTGAATTGAACGTCTTTATATTAAAAGGAACCATATCCATTCTGACATAATCCCTAAGATCCATAAGAATACATGCTTGGCAAGGCTTATGTCCCAACGGATGTAGTTTCTTTTGAGTCAAATGCGTCCAATTTTGGTTGAAGGAAGATTACTTTCGTTATAGAGCGAAATTGCTTGCTTACAGACAATCAGCAGCGATATACCTACAAATAGAGGGAACGCAATAACAACGATGAAATAGCCCGAAATGTGACGAGGACAAAAAGCGCAAAAAATGGGTAACCAAGGCTAAAAATTTGAATTTTATTGATCCTTTCTTACTCATTTTCTTTGATTTTTTATCCGTGTGACAGAAGGGGTTAATGTCGTACTGATCTCTAGACTTACTGGCCAAACGTAAGTCCTGAAAAAACGCGTTTTCACGTCGGTCTCTCCTTCATGAAAAACCGTACTTCGCATCTAATCCGGATCAGGGCGCATGATGGAGACTCAACTCTGCCGTGCTAAACAGAGACAAGAGACCCTCCACTGGCCTCCTACCGACAGAGGTGGAAGCTTTTACTTTCGGAGTTTCAACAATTCCATATGGATACTTATTAGGGAGCAACAGTCATCACCCTAGTTTCGACTGTTGACTTACCTTCGTGGTCGATGATGAGCTTCGGATGACGTCATGAGCCAAACAAGTTTCCCAAACGTCGGCCATTTGCGGCTTGTTTGCAAAACAAAACTGCCAACACGTTGTTGAACATCAACCATGTAGGTAAGTCAATAATAGAATGCTGAAGTCCCGAAAGTAAAAGTTTCCACAATGGCCGAGATACTAGTGTAGGGTCTCTTGTCTCTGGTGCTAAATAAAAGGTCTTATCATTATTTGTAATTTTCCGAATTTCAGCTGATAGAGCGAGAATTTTCTGGAAAACTTAAGAATATTTTTCTCTTCTAGGGATTCTCCTTGCTCTTGAACGAAATGTACTTGAAATTTTCAAAGAAATGTATTTATCGTAGGTACGTATAAGTTGATCGGATAAAATTGTCTGGAAAGAAATACTTGTCTTGGGGGAATGAGGATACAGAAATCTTATGGCAACATTCAAATTTATAAACGACCTTCTTTATCAGCGCGGACGCACTGTATGACAGAAATGAATCAGTGAGAACAAAAACACACCAACTCTGTACCTCGGAAATGCTCAATTTTCATTGAAGACTGTCAATTTCCATAAAGATCATTCAAGTTGGCGCATCTATTCCAACTTGGACCTTTAAAGTGTCCTTAAAGCTTGTCCTTCGGCACCAAAAAACTTTTTCTTGGACTAACTTCTTCACCTACTATGCAGTTTTGTGTGCGTCTTCATTATTTTCATTTTTCCGAGTTCGTGTGTTTTCGTTCTCACTGATTCAAATTTAGAAATAGAATTCCTGAAGTTTCCACCGCTAACGTGTTCCACCACTTCCCGAACCGTCCACGCTACGGATAAAATTGTATGATGACCTCTGGAGTAACCTCTTCAATTTTGTAGATTAACCCTCAAACACCTGAGCAGATTCTGGCCTCCGACACAAGATAGGGCGTATTTAAGTTGTATTTATTTATTTACCTTCGTATAAAACATGAATTTGTTATATGTTAACATGCATCATAATCAAAAGCCCAGACCCACAGTGTACTGTCGAAGGAGATCATGCGAGACCATGCCGAATACGAATTTTTGATAGAGTACTTTTCCTTGAAAGACTTTGTTTTGAGTCGAAACGTCTCGGGTTTCATTAATTGTGTGTTTTTAGCCTTGTTTTCCGTTTTTCATCCTTATTTTTCCAATGTACTTTTTCTTGACGATGTTTTTAAGAGTCTGGACTCTAGATCCAATGTGTTTTTTTCCCAGTGCGAGCACTGTTTCGTAGTCAAGTGCTCCTTGTTGCACTTTATGGGTGAAAAGTTGCAACGCACATTTTTGAGGGGACAAATAAAATTACAAAGCTCTATCTTACCGTCTTCCGGAATTCGTGAGGAATGCCTTCCGGGAGCCGCGCAACCATTTTCATCGCGCTGTGCCATTGCGCGAAGCCGCTGTCACCGGGGCTCGGAGTCACGCTGAATTTCAGCCGGGTGTCCTCGCCTGGAGATAACAAAATAAACGGAATAATAAATGAATCCGAATAGAATCATGCTTCAGTTTGTTACACTTTTCTAAGTGATATGTGTATGTGTCGCAGGCAATGAACAATTGAACAATCACCCGCAATTTTCAAGCGCTTTGCCAAATGGACCACTGTAGAGTGCCTATATTGAGAGAGTATGGCCACTGGTGTTACCACCTCTGATTGGCTCAGCCATCTTAGGCTGAATGGAGCCCTTAGGACCCAAAAATGGCGGACGCCATAAATTAATGTAATGCAAAATGACTCAAAATGTAGTTTTCTTCGCTTATCGTAACGAGAAATTTACTCAAATGCACCATTGCGACATCTTTACAAATTTTTAAGGCTAATCGTGTGCAATTTTTGAGAAAAGTTATCTTAGATGTAGTAAGGTTGGCAGCAAGTGCGGTTGGTGATAACCGTCAAAAGTTGGCAATGACCTCCCTCCCATCCTAAAAAACCAAAACAAACACTGAAAAAAAATCTCCGGCCGTGGGAGCCGTCCTTACGGGCTATATAGGCATACCGTTCGCGTTCCGGGTTCAGAGGCCGAAAGTTCCGGGCGTAGAACCCGGAGCAATCGAAGCTTCCGGCTCCACCCTATGGAACTTTCGGCCTCTGAACCCGGAACGCAAACGGTACGCCTATACAGCCCGTAAGGACGGCTCCCACGGCCGAATTTTTTTTTTCAGTGAAGCACCGCCATTTTTGGGTCCTAAGCCTCTCCATGGGGCCCAGTGGCCATACTCTCTCAATATAGGTACTCTAGACCACTGGACTAGACTGCCGTGCTAAGGAGAAACGCCGTATAAACCTTTAGGCGTTGTCAAATTTCCTTTGAGTGAAAATTTCCTTTAATTACTGTGGAAGTTGAGAATATTTTTCTTCCAGTATTTCGGACAATATTGTTCGCCCTTTAATCTAACACATCTGATTTCAAGGAAAAATATGCATAACTTTCTTCCAAAATGAGCATTTTATCGGTGGAAATTTGGCAACTCTCGAATGTTCATATTGCATTTTTCCTTAGCACGGCAGTAGAGTCCCTTCATACTGAGAGTAAAGACATTGCAAATCCATTTCTGATTGGTTCCCTTATTTTAGGCCTTCACAGTGTCACAAACGGGGGAATAAAGATTACATTTTCACCAATTGCAAAGATTATAAAATGGAATGGACCTGGGAATTGGGAATACTGCAAGGAACAGTTGGAATGAAAGAGGAAACGGAGTTACGAATTCGGGAATGGGTTGATCAAAAATTACAAAAAACGTCCGATTTGTGTAATCTTTATTCCCATTTGTGACATCCATGAGCAGCGTTGTCTCAACTCTCTCTATAAAGGGACTCTACACTGGACAAGGCACGAGTTAAAAAATTCCGATACATAATGCCTCCGCAAAATTTCTCCTATAAAACACTTTTTGCGCAACGGGAATCACTGAAAACCACTAACCAGGTTACTGCAGTTTCTTTGGAGCATTTTTTTTGAAAAATTTAAATTTCCAGCAAAACTAGAGTCTACTTTGATCGAATCGCTCACTATAAGGGTTTCCGCAAATTGCCCAATCAAGCACTCTTCCATCCTCGTCTTGTGGTGCATGTATAAAGTGTGACATGCAATAGTTAAACGTTGGATATCCCTCCAAGTCTCCCTATCCCTCTTGTCTCCTTTGTCTATAGCTTTGTCTATCAATTTCAAAAAAGAGTCCGCGGGGGCCTTTCTATGCTGGTCTGGCAGGCTCAGATCATACGGATCTTAGCGTATGTTAGATATGGGGATGCAATAGGAATCGAAAAAAGAAGAGGATGAAATAGAAAAGAGAGGAGAGTAACAGGGAGAAGAAGGAGATGAGGAGGAAAAGCAGGAAATGAATAAATGTGTATCTTCGATGACAGGATAAATGGAACCACATAAATACGCCAATTACGTCATCAACAGGCCAAAAATGGTCCGTCCAGGGATGCCGAAATAACGTCATGAATGAATCCATTAGATGGTATCATCATGACAAGAATTTGAGTTTTTAGTTGTAAGAACGTTGGATTTGGTGAAAAAAGCCCGGCACAGTAAAAATGTTGAAATCATATGGGCGGTCTTGAACAGGTAGGAAGTTGTTCCTTCCACACTTTAGCAGATGTGGCCGTGCTAGACTATATTCAAGCGGGAAGCGCATTAAAGAAATGTGTCATATCCACCCGAGGCTTAAAAGCACTCAAGTGGCTGTGAAGTTTGATAGAACTTTTGCGTGGTTTTTCCAACCGCCCCCTCCCATTTTCGGCAACGACGCTGATCTTAGCAGTGTTCCCATTTTGTACGCATCCGTATCTGACATATGCTGGGGAAGGCACACATAGGTTATTATCGTCAAAACTTTCAATGTAAACGTAAGTAGACGTAACACGTTTGTTTAATGAGATCCAAATGACTCCGGTGATCTTGTCATAATGGCGCCCATGACGACTTCAGACCATAGTTCGTGAGTTTCGTGGAAGGATCTCAATTAAACCCACCTCGTTTATTACGGGAACCGAGGTCCTTTCGAGCCACTGCGCTCATGTGCGGGCACGAAGAGAGAGGAACTCCAGCACCGAGCGAGTATATTAATCTCCTCACGCCACTCCATACTTGCACTCGCACTTAAGCCACCACTGAAACACTCTCCCGCGATAAGGAGGAACACCGTATGAGCCTTCAAACGTCTCCAAATTTCCTTTGACAAATCGCAAATTTTTGGGAATTTTGTGAATATTTCTCCGCTGATTTTTCAGAGAATTTTTATCGTAATTTGATCTAACTCGACTGAAAGTTTCAAGGAAAAATATTCATAACTTTGATCAAAAAAAGTATCTTCCGAGAGGAAATTTGGCAACGTTTGAAAGTTCGTACGGCAAGAGCTGTGTCCCGCGCGGGTCACCTGATTAAATCCTGACCACGCTGATTAAATCCCTCACATAACTCGGTGGCGGATCTAGAGAGTAGCTGAGGAGGGAGCTTTTTGGGGTAACTCCCCCCACCCTTCCATCCGGGTTGTGGAAGGGTTTTAAGAACCCCGCCTCAAGGAAGATTTGGAAGAAGGAATTCCGATGGATTAAAATTGATGGAAAATTCAGCTATTTAACTGCAATTTTTATTGTAAGAATCGTTAGATTTTATCCCTCGCACTGATGAATGTTTCGAGGATATTCCGCTAAGGAAGAAAGGCGAGGAAAGCCAAAATGTGTGGAAAAACAGAGCCGGACAAAACAGTGGAGGAATTGGATAATTCAACACGGAGAAAAAAACCTCGTGCGTGGGACCCGAAGTTAAGGTCATATGGATCTCTGAAGTTTTCAGAGTGAGCACCTGAACACTTTAGGTCTAGCTGTCGAGGCTCGGATCACACATCCGAAACTTCAGTTCTTACATATGAAGTACTTCAGATGTAAGAACCGAAGTTTTCCGGATGTGAAAACCGAAGTACTTCAGATGTAAGAACTGAAGTTTCAGATGTGTGATCCAAACCTCAGCAGCTGGACCTTAAGTGTTTAGATGCTCAATCTGAAAACTTCAGAGATCCATATGACCTAAACTTCGGGTCCCACGCACGAAGTTTTTTTTCTCCGTGAACAATCAGCCCTCTGTTCGGTTGGTTCAGATTCAATGTTTTATTCCAAAAGTGTTGCGCTAGCGCCTCGTTGCTCAAACATGGGTGAATAAAGAATAATTGCAATTGGGGAGAAAATTCCACCTGTTGAGCTGTCGCCTCGTCGAGTCGTGTCGCGTCCCTCGGCCACTGATTGCTCCCGTCCGCGTCGGAGCCCACATCTCATTCCCCCCCCCNCCCCCCCCCCCCCGCCACCACTTCACCTCGGTGCGCTCGGGGCATTTTTCACTCAATGGGTCTCCACTGACTTCGACATTAATTCCTGAGACCTCGTCCACACTGGGATTTCACCCTGAGTCCGAGCACTTCCAGGGAGCCACAGCTTCGACCGGAAACACTTTTTGGTTACCTTTCAATAAGTGACGGTTTCTCAACCTGGATCGATGGTGAAACTCTAGGAACACAACCATTCTTTTTTATGTATGCACTTATGTCTCTTTGAGAATGATCGATTCAATTCTTCGTTCATACTACAAAAACAACTCTTGAGCACGAGGAACTCAAAGCTGAAGCACTAAAGATACGCACACCCTAAGTGCCTACGTCTCTGTGTGCAACCATTCGCTTTTAAAGATTTCTTTGTCACAAAAAATTGGAGGTGCTTCCTCATTTTGGATCCTTGTAGTACAGTACAGCGCGCCGCACATGTGAAGCGGTGAGTGCCTGGAGACTCAAAACGCCTTCACTTTTGTGGATATGCAACGCGGACATCCATCAAGTACGAATAGTTGTATCTCTGCGCCGTCATCAACGCACTCTAGAAGTCTCATGTCTCTTATTTTTGATACTTGAGAAGTTTCAAGGCTTTTGCTCAAAGTTGATGTGTCCAAATCAATAATCACTTTTTTTTTAAAAAATAAAAGAAAGTAAAAAAAATGTTTAAAGATCTCTCAAGCGCTCTAAAAGGCGCACGTCTAAAAAGTGGTATGATGACTACCTCTAGAAACCCCGAGCCAGGTCAGATATTGACCCGACTTTCTCTTCAGGGGAGTTACTTTTGGCAGATGAGGGGGAAGAGAAAGCCAGTATGTTATCAGAGAGGTGAAAATCTCAAAAAAATATTCTTTACCTTCAAAAACATTGAAATAATATAGATAATACTTTGAAAAACTCGAAATCAATGCATTTAAATACGGGTAAACATGACCTGACTTGAGATTTTGCGTATGAAAAAGTCTTGGGCATGAAGGGTTAAAAGATAATCAGAGTGGCATAAAAATAAAAAGCAGCTTAAAGGTCAAAAAACATTTTGAATAGTTACAGACTGCTGAGCAGAGAAAAATAAGGTGGGAAGTGAGTTTTAATATCACCGAGAGCTGAAGGCTATTCTT